AGGAGGAGGGACACAGCTTTGGAAAGTGGAAGAGGTTCCTCTGCTGATTTCAATGTCAAAGCCTTCCTCCCCCCGGTACCCTTCCATCCTGCCCAGTTGCCCACCACCCTTTTAGAAATCCCACCTGCCATGACACAGCTGCTTCAACCCCTTCATTTGAGGGATCCAACCCTTACATGCCTTATGATGGTTGGGGAAGGAGGCTGGAGGGAGGGAAGGGGTGGTAGTAAGTGGTGATTTGGCTTCCTTTCTTCCAGGCAATGAAGAGAAATGGGAGAGGTGAGCCTGGGTTCGCCACTTTGAGTGCAATTTCACGGTGGAAAGACTCCTAAGTTCCACCCTGTGCCTGGGTCCACCCCATTCCTACCTCACTCCCTTTTTACTCCTTGGCCTTGTCGTGTGCCCCCACCTGGCTTCCCCCCCTCCCCTGAACACACAAGGCAAAGGAACAGGCCTGAGCATGCCAGAAGCCAGCTGGCTCCCATCCAAACTAGCAGCTAGGCATGCTGCCCGTCTCCCCCTCCCTCCCCCCCCCTCCCTCTCCCTCTCTCCCCCTCCTTCCCCCCCTCCCCCCCCCCCCCTTCTGCTCACTGATTCTATACTCTTAAATTCAAGGAGAAGAGGAAATCCCAGGGCAAAGGGGAAGTGGGAAGGGAGGCAGGGTAAAATCATAGCATGAAAGTGAAGATGAGTTGGGAAAACTTAGGCAGAGAAGGGAAAGGTATTAGCCCTGGGTCACCTAATGAAGGAGTATCAGAACTGGGAACTGGAGTCTAAGAACCTCTCAGTCTGAGACTTTCTGCTTTGGAAGCAGTTTGACTGCTGGTAAACTCAGAGCAATGACTTTCCCAGGTAGACATGGTGGGTAGGTCACACTTACAAAAACTCACTCTTACATACAAACTTGTGCCCTCATATTAGGATATCCAAACTAACATGCATACATATACAGACAGTGACATATACAGCTACACAAAAGGTACATCCATACTTCTCTTGGGTAGAGTTCTTCTGTCCCCCAGCCAACTGACCGTGCTGGCCAAGCGTCCTCCCTGACTCTTCTCTTTTCTCCTCCCTTCTTCCCCAGCCTCTCTATGACCCAGACCATCTCTGGGCTTTGCTCACTGCCTACCCCTCCCCACCTCCAGGAGCTATGGAACCCTGACTTGGCCCACAGCTGAAAACCTAGAATTAGGGGCTTTTTGCAGAAGGTATAAATGCTTAGAAAGTTGGAAGATGCTTAGGATGGTGAAGCTCTGAACGAAAGATAAAGGCCTTTTGGTAAAGTTCTGATCTGCTCACCCTAGGATTGGGTTTTTGGTCTTCAGCCAGAGGTCAAGGTCTCTTCCTCCTTTCTGAGTCAAGTGCTTGGACAGTGTTGCTCCTAGATTACCAGAGTCAGGAGACCTTTTCTAGTCCTATCTCTGTCATCAATTCAATATATTATCCTAACCCTATTGTACTTCTGGGGTAGTTAGGTGGAGCAGTAGATAGAACACTGGGCCTGGACTCAGGAAGACCTGAGTTCAAATCTGGCCTCAGACACTTACTAGCTGTGTGACCAGGGGCAAGTCACTTAACTCTGTTTGCCTCAGTTTCCTTATCTGTAAAATGAGCTGGAGAAGGAAATGGCAAACCACTCCAGTATCTCTGCCAAGAAAACCCCAGAGTCACACACAAGTGAAAAACGACTAAACAATTGTGCCTCAGTTTCCTCTTCTATCAAATGAAGAACAGCATTCCCTCATAGGGTTGTAAGACTCAAATAAGTACAGATAGGAAAATATCTTGATGAAGTATATTTGTCAACATACACTTCCCTCCTGAAGCAGCTGAAACTCAAGGATAGGTGAGGGAAGGGTGGCCAGGGAAAGCAGACTGGATCTTATGAGTTCTTTCTCCCTTACCCTACGCATTCATGACACAGTCCTGGGGTAAAGGGGCAAATTCCCTCCTGAGCTGGAGACAGAAAGCAGAGAGAGAGGGGTAAGAGAGAGAAGGGATCCAAATGGAGAGGCAACACTGAAGGGACTGACAAAGATGGCATCGAGTAGGGAGTTGAGGGGAGAGGAGTCCTGAGGAAGCTATGTGGCAAATTCACCAAACTTCCCTTCTATGTTATCTTGTCATGCCACTTTGAAGCCAGGCTCTGCCTGCTCCTGGGTTCCTTTTAGGGAGTCCCTGGCTTTAGGGCAGAGGAGTAGGGAATCAGTTTATGATTCCCTCCTGCCCTCCTCAGAGCTAAATTATATCCTGAGGTCTTGTTTAACCTATCCTAATTCTGGCAAGGAAAGGAATCCTTAAAGAGAGATGACAGGGGACATGGGGGGAGGAATATCATGGAGATGCTGAGTCTAAACTGTCCTTCAGGCGGCCGTTGGTAGAGGGGGAAGTGGGTAGTTGGGGGCGGTTGGACTCAGGGACATGAGGAGGGAGACTTCAGGTCTAAGTTAGACGATGGGGGTGGGGTCTAGCAACCTGTTACCGTCTTTAAGGACAACTCTTCTTCCCTCCCCTTCCCCCAACTCAGCCCCTTATGGTCGGGCAGGGCTAGACAGAGGGATGGACTCCCTTTTCTCTGGGCCCCAGCAGGTGGTGTTGCCCACAAACCGCCGCCTTCTGCTGGCAAGATTCCCAGAGCCATGTGGGGAGGGGGGGGTACAGTTCCTCTAGTGGTGTGGCTGAAGGGAGAGGAGGGGCTCTGAGGGATAAAAAGATCACCCCAGCAGCCTTTTCCATCTTAGGAGTAGCTCAAGTCCAGTACAAATCACAGGGCAACAGGCTGTTCTCTGCTCCCAGTCCACCAGTTCCCCAAACCCCTAGGACTCTTATGAGAAAATGAAGGATAAAGTCATTTTCTCTTACCCAGCTTTGCCTGAGCCCCCCACCTGCTCATGCACCTGTGACAGACAGGGGTGGGAGTCAATAGAGCAGACAGTTGTTTATCTTAGGGTAGCTTCTTACGATCCCTGTAGGCCTGCTCGTGACATCGTCCCCCAACACACACATACACTCATACCATCCCTGAGTCTAGTCTAAGGAGCTTCATGTTAGAGGCTACAATGGAGTGGGAACAGGGATGTCAGTTTGTTCAGAGAGTTCTAAGTGGGTCATGGAGGAGTGGAGCAGCATTGTGGGAAATGAGGACCAGAGACTCTGGAAAGAATGGGGCTCAGTTTCCCAAGCAGGAGTCTGAAGTTTTCATTGTTTGTCCTGCCTCAGTCTCTGCCAGTGATCACTTCTGTTTTCACCTTCCTTTCTGTGGCAACAAAAAAGGTGTTGCTGAGAGGTGCTAGGTAGTACGGTGAATACAGTATGTGGGGACCTGGAGTCAGGAAGCCCTGTCTCAGACGTTGTGTGACTCTGGACAAGATGCATAACCTTTGTTTGCCACAGTTTCTTCATCTGTAAAATGAGACTGATAGTAAATACCTCCCAAGGCTTTTGTAAGGATCAGATAAGATAACATATATAAAACGTTTTTTCAAACTTTAAGTTGTTATATAAATGCTAGCAATTATTATTATCTTAGGGAAAATGGAATTTAAAGGGTGGGGGAAAGATTAGGACAGAAGGTACTTTCTCCTTCCTTGGAAGCCAAATACCACTCCAGCCCCTACCCAACGCCCAGCTTCCTGAATAAGAGAGTTGGATAACAGAATTGTTCCTTATCTCTCCCAAAATGTGCGCTCTGCTCTGAAGCTTAAAACAGAGATGGTTTTTAGCAACTGTTATTCATTCTTCACCTGTCCTGTATAGAAAACGAACCCTTTCCCCTATTTCTCTCCTCTCTTCTCTCTCTTCCTCTCTCTCTCTGTGTCTCTCTCTCTGTCTCCGTCTCTCTCCCTCTCTGTCTCTGTCTCTGTCTCTCTCCCTCTCCCTCCCCTCCCTCCCCCACCAAAGCTGGGTGCTGATCTCCCTTGTTGGAATACAAGGTGTACAGTGTGAGTCCGACGGACTGTCAGTAAACACGACATTCGCTCATCAGAGTCATTGAGTTATGGCGGAGCCGGGTGCCAGGAGCGGAAAGCCCTCTATACTTGATGCCAACTGCAATTACCTCTCTGTCTGCCAGCCGGCAACAAGGACTTAACTCTTTCCATATCTTGTGGGAGGAAACAACTGAGGAAGATGGGTCATATGAAAGGAAAGAGGGAGGGACAACTACCTAGGAAAAAAGTAAATTGTCCTAAATCTAGAAAATAGAGTTCATTCCAAGGTTCATCTCCCTCCACCACTAAACAGTCTAAGAATCTATGGAGCACAGGTTAATCAGCAAGAATTTACTGAGTCCCTACTATGAGGCTAGAGCTATGCTAGGCAGGGGGTGACTAGGTGGGCCTGTCAGAACTTCTCTCTCCTGGGGGCATGGATTGTTAAGGGATGGCACTCCCCACTCACGATGACAACTCTCTACCCCCTCCCACTCCCAGGCTGGCACATATGGTGAGCATTCTTCCTACTAGGGATACCAAATAGCTTTGTTGCATCTAGTGGGATGAGCATCCCACAGTGGAGTCTTAACCCAGCTGTGAAACACATTTCCCTAGCAACGAACTTTACCCCTTCCTTCTACACCCCTCCCTCCTCCTGCCCCCCTCCCAACCTTTTCTGTCTCTCTGCACATCTGGCTAAAACAATTGTTAATATATCTCCTTCTTTCTCCTTCCAAGTCAGAAGCTTTCATAGGGAAGAGGATGAGGAGAAAGACTCGGGCCCTAGGCCCAGAACTCACTTGACCCACCATTGCTTGTAGTCTATTTCATGTTGTGCCCAACCTTTCCCATTCTAGACCTGTACTGTGTGTCCCCTATAACTAGGGCTCGTTCTTGCTAGTTGTAAAGATCTGCAGAGGTCCAATCCAGGGGCCATGGGTCATTTACTTGCTCCCATCCTCCCACCCCACAATATTAAGTACAGAGGACAGAGCCCCTTCTTCTCCCTCCCCCATCAGTATAGCTGAGACTGGGTGGGGGAGGGGGAACTCTAGCACTCCTTACCTTCATGGGAGTGGGAGAACCAGATCTGAGAGGTGCCCGAGTGGGGGCCCCGATAGGCCTGATCAGAGGGGGAGGAAGTGGGACCACTAGGGTGTGCAGGAGCAGTGGATCCCAGGCTGCTGGTGAGGAAACTGCCCATGAAAGATGAGGCTGGAGGATTCCCCATTAGGCGGCTACTGGCTGTGGAAAAAGAAAGGGAGGAAAGAGATGAGTATGGGGTCAGTAGCTCTGCTTGGGGTCACCTCCACAATGTGGACATGAACTCATTCATTCAGAAATTTTTTCTGCACCTATTCTATGCAGAGCACTATGTCAGTATGGGAGAAGGAGGAGAAAGGCAAGAACGATGCAGTCCCTGCTGTCATGAAGTTTCCATTCATTCACACTTGACCCAGCAAAACAGATGCATTCACCCCAATGGGTACTTGTCCAGTCTGCTCACTTTAATGTTCATGCCAGATGGAATGGTGAAAAGGGAATTTGGAGTCAAAGGACCTGAGTTCAAATCTTGGCACTGCCATCAACTACCTCTATGATTTTTGGGAAAGTCACCTGAGGACCACTCTCTGGACCTCAGTTTTCTCATACATAAAATAAGGGAGTTGGACCAGATGACCTCTAAGGTTCCTTTGATCCTATAGGATCCTATAGGATTCATATTTAATCCAACCAAAGGTCTACCATTCATGAAGCAGTCTCCACTCATATGTCTGGCATATGCTCTTCCATAACTCTATCCACAGGCCAACAAGTTCATCCCAGAACTGATACACAGGTCTTGGACCTCGTCTAGAAAATGGTGTCAGTCTATTTCCAACTACCCAAAAACCAAAAGCTAAGGAGCTCTCTTTCCATGTTTATTTACAGTTGCTGGGAGTCCATCACATTGCACCAATTATTCTCTCAGGGCCCAAATAAGACCCTATGTCTAACTCTCTTCCTAGTTCCCAGTACCCTCCCTGGCACCACACAGCCTCAAAAACTAGACATGCCTTGATTGCACATGTATAATCTGTATCAGATTGCTTGCCATCTTGAGGAGTAGGGATTGGAGGGAGGGAGAAGAATTTGGAACTCAAAATCTTATAAAAATGAATGTTGAAAATTGTCTTTACATGTAATTGGAAAAAGTAAAACACTATTTACTTTAAAAACAAAACAAAACAAAATAAAACACCATCCTGCACCAGACATTCTTAACATGGTCCACAGATGACCCCACCTCTACTTTGGCTCCATTTATTCCTCTATCTTCTCCTAGGCAGACACTCATCCCCATACTCCCACCCAGTTCACTATAGTTGAAAACACACTGGACAAGGAGTCACTGGGACCTGGGGACTAGTCTTGATTTTGTTACCAGTGAGCTGTGTGATTAGGCAATCTATTTACCCTCTCTGGGCCTTAGCTCTCTCATCTGTAAAATGAAAGGGGTTGTTCTTGAAGATCCCTGAACTCTCCTCCAGGTTTAGCATTGTATGAGTCTATGGCCTGATGCCCTCGACTAACTTGGGTAATGTTTCTTAGGCCACTCCACTCCATTGTATCTAGGCTGGAATCTTTCAGCTCCTGTTATCTACTCAGTCTGTGGCACCATAAGATCCATTCTTGGGTAGAAAAGGAGAAGCACACCAGGATATGTGTGTGTGTGTGTGTGTGTGTGTGTGTGTGTTGGGGGTGGGTGGGGGAGGGGTGGTAAAATGCAATATGCCTGGCCTTGAGACACTCCAGTCAGAGTCAACCATGTTACATAAGTACCTAGTTATTTGCACACTGTCTTTCCCATTAGATTGTGAACTCCTTGAGGCCAGAGTCTATTTTTGCCTGTCTTTGTATTTCCAGAGTTTAGCACAGTGTCTGGCATATAATAAGTGCTTAATAAATATCTGTTGATTGACTGACGTCAGTTAGTTCCCAGTTTCTTTTAGGAAAATATTATATGCAAATGTACACATATATTTAGAGACTGCCATATTGGCCAGCCAAAAGGCATACTGCTGCCGCTGTGGAACTAACTACTACTTCCCCTGGGGAACACAGTGGGGCATCTTTTCAGTACAGCTGAAAATAGTATCCACACCAGCAAGGTGCAGCTGTGGGCACATCCCAATGAGCATAATCACACGTGTGTGACGTGCTCACTCAAGAGAAGGACACGGGGACTCTATGACAGTTTGATCTCACTTGGGTACCCAACTAATCTACATGTATATCAGGGAAGGAGAGCGAAAGTGAAGGATGGCCATGTTTCTGCTAACTTTACCATTAGTGGCTCCCTAGGGCTCAGGCCCTCTCTGGTGTATAGTAAACCATGACAGTGAGCAGCCCTCAGGCTTACCCTACACCCACTGTCCTACTCTCAGAATAGCTGGCATCAGGCCACCAAGCCATTATCCTGATCATCTCAGTTGACACAACTCAGCCAAGTCCTAAACGCTGGAGCCTCAGGAGGGAGAGGCTTCTGGGGACAGTCTTATCCAGGTAGAGGGGAGCTGTAGGGGGCTCTTAACACCAACTACCCTAATAGGTATCAGTGAGTGGGACAGGAGTGGGCCCATAAGCTTGCCAGGAGCTTTCTGTCTCTAAGTGAGAAGGTATCAGATTCCCAAGAGCAAATGCACAGAAAGCCTGAATGCCTCCCAGACCAACTGGACTCTACTGATTGGCTTGGCAGGTTTGGCCTCATTACTTTGGCAGAACAGAGATAGTGCCCCTTGGGGCCAGTTCCAGTCTGAAAACCCGATACCTCTGACTGAACAGGCTAGAATGAGGAGTGTGTCTTCCCAAGGGCGGGGGTGGGGGAGGGTCTTCATCAATAGAAAACGTGGACTCTTGGGGGTCTAACTCTGGGGGCCTGCTTATGGAGCCCTTGGGTTTGGGGGGGCAGTACATTTGCATTTGTGCATGTGTATGGGGGGAAAGAGAATGAGAAAGCAAAAGAGAAAGGAGAGAAAGGAAGGAGTGTGAAAGGGGTAGGGAAGGAGAAAGGGAAGTAGCAAAAGAGAAGGAAAGAGGGAGAGAAGAAGAGAAAGCAGAGAGGGAAAAGAATGTCTTAATTAAATATCAAGCATGTGATTCAACTGATCTGTTTAACAATATCTTCAATGTTCCATACATGTCATACTCTGACTATTACCAGGTTGAAATACAACTTATAGGGATTCTTTTACTTTATTTTTTTTTAAATCACTTTTGGAGTCACAGCCTTCTTGGAGGCAACAACACACAAGTCACAAATTTCCTTTAGATTATAGTAGCACCACTCTATGACCTTTAGTGATGGAGATGAGGGACATTGCTCTCCTCTATGCCCCCACTGAAAGTATCAGGCTTGCTGTCCTCCCTGTCCCCAGTCCTGAAGTGACTGATGGTAAAGATCTGGTTCCAGACCATACTGTTAACTGACTGAATGCCAGCCCATCTTTCCAAACCTGTGGTATTTGTGTGTGTGTGTATAAAGTGTATGTGTATACACAAACAGCATGACATAGTGGATAGAGAGCTGGGCTCAGTCAGGAAGATCTGTGTTCAAATCCTGCCCTTGACACGTATTGGATACATCATAATAATTTCCAAAAGGAAATTATATTGAAGATTTCAGTCATAGGATTATAGTTCTAGTCCTGGGCAACTCCCTTAACCTCTCTCAGTACTTTGGGCAATCCTTGAAAACTATATGCTACAGAGAAGGGAGAAACCTGCAATGGCAATGGGAATCCTCTATCTCTGCTCCCCTCCCCCACCCTCCCCCTCTCTTATGCCAGGTTATCTCTATGTGTATGTGTCTGTCTTTGTACACTCATATGCCACCAAGGCACAGTGGTCTGCTGCATATGTGTGTCTAGGTCTTGTTTTCCCTGACTTTCCTGCTTTTGAATAACCGGAGCTACGCTAGGCCGAAGGGTAACAGGCCTTATCGTGAAGTAACGGAAAGGACGTTAGATTTGGGATCAGGAGACCTGGGTTCTAGTCCTAGTACTGACACTTTCTAGTTATATAACCATAAACAAGTCACCTCCTGCCTTAGTAGTTTTCTCACCCAGCGTGGTAGATTAGAATCAATGTTCTCTAAAATCCCTTTCAACTCTGGCATCTTCTAATTTGAATGTTCTAGGTCCTCCCTGAAACTGCTCTGCCTTTCCTTAAACCCAGCAGATCAGCTTAAGTTTAGGGCGAAGTCATCACAGGAAGACTTTCCTTTCTATTGCCGTGACACCAAGGACCCTCTCTTAAAAAAAAAATAATAGAAGTTTCCTTTTAATGTGCTTTCAAAAGAGTATTCCATTTGAAGTCATTAGACCGAGTCTGAATATTGCTTCTGTGTGAGTTATTATTACTTCTATGACCTTGAGAAAATTGTTTTAACCTCTCTGAGCCTCCGTTTCCTCAGCTATAAAATTTGGGAGGTTGTGCTAGATGATCGCCAAAGTCCCTCAGGACTATGGAACCCTGCTTTACTAGAAGAAACAACATGAGTTGATGGATTCCCTGATCTTTTTCTCAGAATCCTAAATCTGGTTGGCTTCGGTCAATTTAGTGCAGAAGCAAGAGCAAGGGAGCAAGAAGAACGAAGGTGCTAAACTGGACATTGGTGTAAGGCATAGGCAATAGACTTATTGCCAGAGGGGTCCAGGCTACAGAAAGAGAAGAATAAGGAGTAGAGATAAGGGGTGCGTTGGAGTCTGTGTTGGGTGAAGTCAGAGGGGATGTGAAGGTCGATGGTCAAGGAGAGGCAGAGAGACTAGGGTATTAGAAAGGGGAGAGGTGCCACCAGGCCAGGCTGGTATAGTTAAGGGGATGCCTCCCTGGATTCTTCCAGCAGAATACAGGCTGACCTCCTAAAATCCAGCTGCACAGGCCAAGGTGAGTCAGGGAAGTCATTCCATTGCCTGGGGGTGGGGAATTTATGATGTCTCATCTGAGTCCAGCCCTGAGACCTCAGGAGCTTTCCAGACAGAAGAGTGACTCAACCCTAGAACCTCAGGAGGATGGGAGGAAAGCACAAATATTTGGAAGGGTGGAAGGTAAGGCTGTGAGAATAGACTTCCAGTGAACCACAACATGTGAGAGCCTAGAGAGTGTGAGACCCGGGGCCTGAGAAATGCTTGAGATGGTGTGCTCTCACTTGTGGAGGAGTGGGAAGGTAGAGCATCATGGGGAAAGATATAATGTCTCTCCCA